CAAGTGAAGCAGTCACCTGCATCTTTTGTAGCTCCTCCTTAATGAGAGCTCTGATGAGCTGCGCTACGCACTGATGTCATTTCCGAGAGTGACAGAAGCGACCTAACTTGGATGTACACCACGGTTATACTGCTTGCACGATGTTGCTCATAGGGGCCCGCTCTATGGCAGTGTCTTCCTCATGGAACTCCGCAAGCGTCACAGGCGGGTTTCGAATCAGGCCGGCAACAATCACTTCTTTAACACCACGCATTAAGTGGCGAACTGTCATGGGTTCAGTCATAGAGGGCTTCGCATGCCTGAAAATTCGATCCATGGCTCGTCATATTTCCCAGGGCTCAAGCTGAGAATAATTTACTGCTACAGGGTTGTTAACTTGCTGCGATACTGAACACAATCTTCATAAACGTAATAAAGTGTTTCAAATACAGATGGCAAAACTCCTATGGCGCGATGCACGCGAACCAAGCGTTTGTCTGACCACTGCAAACACATCAAATAACCACCCTAACTTTGGACATAACCACCCGCTGCCACTTTCTTTATTTCTGTGAGTGCTGTCATTTATTTATTTATTTATTTGTGAATACTGCAACCCTAACATAGGGTTTTGGCAGGGTTGATATACGTTTGATAAGTTTACAAATCGGCAAACAAAATAAATATAAAACAGGTAAGGCATTTACACACTTTTAGAACGAAAAAAAAGAACAGTGGTTTGTAATTAACCGGCATAAGAACATATAGAGAAATGAGCGCTAAATTCAAGATGATCACAAGGGGAGAATGGTTACAGTGATATAAATAAACAACAGGAGCACATGTCATAGAAATTAGACACTCGCTGCTAGAGCTGCGCAGCAAAATGTTCAAGGATGACTGGGTAACAACTTCGTTACTAAGGTTATCCCATTCGGTAATTGTCCTAGGGAAGAACGAATACTTGAATGTGTTATTACGGGTGAAAAATGGGGTTATTGTAAAGGCATGCCTCTGCCTTGTGGTATAATACCCTGTGGACAAATGAAGTATATGTGATAAGTCTAACTTAGAATAACCTTTAACTAACTGAAAGAAAAATTTCAATCTCAATACTTTATTTCTTTGTGTAGGTGTTAAGAGGTTAGCTTTTGCTAATAAATTAGTTATTGAAGTACGACCAAAACTGTTTTAAATAAACCTAACAGCTCTCTTTTGAATTTTCTCCATTTCGCTGATATAATTCTGGTGTAAGGGTACCAAATTATGGATGCGTAATCTAAAGTAGGTTGAACAATTGCATTAAATGCAACAAGGCGAACGGCGGGAGTGGAGTGCTTAAGAGCTCGTCTAAGATGAAATAATTTGTAATTGCACGAGCTTATTACAGTGTTAATATTTATAGTCCAGTTAAGGTCATTCCAAATCCAGAGACCAAGGTACTGGTAGTGTTGTACTTCCTGCAAAAAAACATTATTGGCTGAATATGCAAAATGAAGAGTGTTACGTTTGTGAGAAATTTTCATGAAAACGGTCTTTTTAAATTAACTGACATCTGTCATGCATCGCACCGACGAATGAACTTTTGAAATGCATCGTTTAAATGAATTTGATCAGCATGGTTTTCTATTTCCGAGTACAGGATGCAATCATCCACATATAACTTAACTTTTACATGTATATCATGTGATATATCATTTACAAACAAGAAAAAGAGGAGGGGTCCGAGCACAGAGCCTTGGGGAACACCCGAGTCAACCGGTACTGTACAAGAACAATGGTCATTCAAGAAGACGTACTGTTTTCGATATGAAAGATAACAGGAAATCCAATTTAGAAGCTGAGTACTCTTAAGAATCAGGTCCAATTTGAAGAGTAACTTATTGTGAGAGACCGTATCGAAAGCTTTAGCAAAATCCATAAAAGTTGCATCTACCTCTTTTCCGGAATTTATAGATAGTGCGAAATCATGAACTGTAGTTACCAGCTGAGTACAAGTAGAAAATCCTTTCCTAAATCTGTGTTGTGAACCTGACAAAATATTGTGCTTATCTAGGAATTCTCAAATATGCTTATGTATTATATGCTCAAGTAGTTTACAGGAAGTTGAAATTAATGAGATCGGCCGATAGTTATTAACAGAATGAGAGTTTCCACTCTTATGTAGGGGCTTGACTTTAGCAGTTACCCAGTCATTCGGAACTTGACCATCTTTCAGATATTCAGAAAAAAGAATTGTTAGGTACTTTGAAACCCATTGTGCATAGCGATTTAAGAACTCATTCGATACTCCATCAGGACCTGAAGATTTTTTAACATCAAGCTTTAAAAGTAAATTAAAAACTCCCTCTTCACTTATGACAATATCCGATAGGGGTGGGCCTGCCATATGAAATGTTTCCAGGACTTCATTATCCTTTGTAAAAACAGACTTAAAATGATCAATGAAAGCATTAGAAATAACAGAGGAATCACTAGTTTGCACACCGTCAGTTTCAAAAACATCAGTAGTCACAGGATTGGGCGAAATTAAACTCCAGAACCTCTCGCGAGACGAAGACATGAAAAGACATTTAGTGGGTCAGTCTGTACAGCGCAACACGACACACACGAGGTCCTGCATCTAACACTGTCAAGATGCGAGTCCATCTATCTGTATATCTATCGATCTATCTATCTGCACACACACACACATACACGCATATATATATATATATATATAAAATAAGGGAGAGAAGTGTGACAGTAATGCCAAGGAATGTAGAGGGGAAGTTATTAGAACCAATGGAATGTAAATAAGAAGAAAGAAGAAAGAAAAGTGGATGAAAAAATTACCAGCTGTGAGCACGAATCGAACCTACGACCTTCGAATAACGCGTTCGATGCTCTCTCTCTCTCTCTCTCTCTCTCTATATATATATATATATATATATATATATATATATATATATATATATATTATATACAGGCAATAATGCCAAGCAAAGTATAGAAGAAGTTGTGAGACGAAAAATTGGTAGATCCCACGTACAGTGGGAAGCACCAATAAGAAATGTTGGTATGTCACTTTAAAATCAGCACAATGTTACGAGGTGAAAATAAATGATGCAGTACATGACTTCCGTGTAATGAATATCATGTTTGGATGTGTCGTTTACCTTCGTAATCTATTCACGTCATGTGACACCAAATTCAGTATATGTGGTGCTAGCGAAACGGCCACGAGCGCATCTTGAGCGTAGTATGCTTTCTTGTTCTTACATAACAGGCACGCCATGACTATCATGTTTGCACCAGTCATATACCTTCGTCATCCATTCACGTCCCGTAATACAAATTTGGTATATGCATAGCTAGCGAAACGACTGCGAGCGCACCGTGAACGTCATGCGTGTCATATTTTCACGTTATGATCTGTCACTAGTCTTCGCTATGCAGTCATGCCATACCCTACCAGTTTTGCAACATGTCACGGGAACGAAACCACTGCAAGAGCAGCAAGACCATGAATTTAAAATCCTGACTTTATTGACATACGCGTCAAGATTTTCATGTTATGACTAGTCACTTATGCTCGTCATATCGTCATGTTATGCCATACCAGCTTTGTTATCAATATTATCGAAATGGCCAGGGGAGCAAAACATCATAGGTGGATAGATAGATAGATAGATAGATAGATAGATAGATAGATAGATAGATAGATAGATAGATAGATAGATAGATAGATAGATAGATAGATAGATAGATAGATAGATAGATAGATAGATAGATAGATAGATAGATAGATAGATAGATAGATAGATAGATAGATAGATAGATAGATAGATAGATAGATAGATAGATAGATAGATACGCTCAATATTGCCGCAGTTCTCCAAGGAATACTTTGTAGTTAAAACAATGCTATTTGTACGCTTCATTCCAGGTGTTGTCTGTTTATACACATACTAACAACTTACTGACAACATGTGTCTGCACTGCTAAGGTACTCGGCTGCTGACCCGCAGGTCGCGGGTTCAAATCCCGGCTGCGGCGGATGCATTTCCGATGGAGGCGGAAATGTTGTAGGCCCGTGTGCTCAGATTTGGGTGGACGTTAAAGAACCCCAGGTGGTCAAAATTTCCGGAGCTCTCCAAGAAAAAAAGTCTCTCATAATCATATGGTGGTTTTGGGACGGTAAACCCCACATATCAATCAATCAACATGTGTCTGCACTGTCTATTAATGAAGTGTGAGGATGCTAGAGACTTTGCAACACAAAAATTTGGTTTCACGAGGTGTCGGTTCCTGAGATGTGTAAGCAAACTAGTGTAAGAAAAAGCTGTATGGCATGCTATCGAAGCGTTGGATAAACGTTCAAGCTGGGAAGGTCAGGTCTGGCAGAAATAGAGGAGGCGACGGAAGCTCAAGGCGTAGAAAATTGCTTGAACACGTGGTATTGCTTTAACCAACATATCAACTACATTAGTATAATTCAAGGTGAAATCCTATGACACCCTGGGTTCCAGAACATTTATCAGAATCAGATGAGAAAGAGGTTTGACAGCTCAATGTAAACTTATTAGGCATGTCAGTTCAAGTAGCACATATTTTAGTAAATAGGTACTTCTATTTACCAAAAGTCCTTTTTGGTTACGTTTGTCAGAGAGCATTTTTTGAGCTCGATTTCTGCAGCTGCGTAAATAAACAATAATCCAAATTCCTGCCTTGTGATAACGTACTTATGTCTAAATCTGGAAGATGACTTCTTCTGTCACATGTAACGGTCCCATTTGAGGCATTCTTTCAAAGTGCAAAATTATACAATGGGTTTATCTAATAACTTTCGTTCCTGTTTTGTGTCATGTAACACTTTTTCATATATATTTTTCGTAAAGTTATTCATCTTGTGCGCACAGACGGCGTGCGTATGTACCGTAAATTAAAGTATGTGCCTTCATCGTTAGTAATGAGTCTACTAAAACATCATAATAGAAGTGATACAAATGAGAGTGAGAAAGAACTGTTTTGCAGCTCACCTCCGCAATCAATCAGAGAGCCGATGAGGCTTACAGGCCAGGAGGCGAGACCCCTGTCCACGTTCATCTGCTCCATGATCCCCACCATGAGAAAGCCGGAGCAACGGCTGGATGACGACTCCATCGTCGTCATGACGAAGGCCAACACTGCTACCCACCAGCATTTGTCGACGCCTGTCGTGTCAGCTTTCTGCGTGGCTTGTACCTCGGGAGAGCGATGATCATAGCCACCCAAGGAAGCTCTTCCAGACACGGGCAAGCAACTTGGGATGGAAGATGTACGACTGTGTGACTCGGGCTCGAACCTAATTAGAAAGATGACTCCGTGTATTTGATAGGAAGCTTTTTTGCACGAGTGAGACCATGAAATGAAGACAAGTAAATAATCATGAGACTACTTTTCGTTAAAATTCATTCATAAAGCAAATAGATAATATAGCCAATGAACCACAGCAAGCGTCGAGTTTACTTTTTAAGAGTAGTAATGATCGCCTGAATGGTTGTATAAGTAGACAAAAACAGACGGCAGCAGTAATTTAAATCATTGCTTCTCAAATAAATGCTTCGTGAGTAGGATGACAAGCAAATGGCATGTACATACATTTGCAGTGTAAGGTGATGAGTTTACAATAAAATTCTGCACATTCCGTTTCTAGAATAATAGGTAGGATTGTCTTAAGAACTTTTGCTATAAAAGACGCTGCCTACCAGCATTTGTCGATGCCTGTCGTGTCACACTTGGCTTTCTGCGTGGCTTGTAACTCGGGAGAGCGATGATCATAGCCACCCAAGGAAGCTCTTCCAGACACGGGCAAGCAGCTTGGGATGGACGATGTACGACTGTGCGACTCCGGCTTGAACCTGGTTAGAAAGATGACTGCGTGTATTTGATAGGAAGCTTTTTTGCACGAGTGAGATCATGAAATGAAGACAAAAAAATAATCGTGAGTCTACTATTCGTTAAAAATATAATCATAACGCAAATAAACAATATAGCCAATGAACCACAGCAAGCATCGAGTTCACTTGTTAAGCCTAGTAGAAGTAGACAAAAACTCATGGCGGCAGTATTTTAAATCATTGCTTCGCAAATAAATGCTTCGTCAGTAAGATGACAAGCGAAGGGCATGTACGTTCTTTGTAGTGTAAGGTGTTGAGTTTACAATAAAACTCTGCACATTCAGTTTCTAGAATAATAAGTAGGATTGTAGTAAAAACTTTTGCTATAAATGACGCATTTGCGGCATTTACTGACCTGCTCTTCTTTTATGCATAAATTTAGGCTCTTTGGAATGTCAGTTTAAATGACAAATAAGATATCTAAGTTCAGCTTGTACCTCAGTCGATCGTAACTAGGTTGTATTCAAACAATACAGTGTATCTTGTACGATTTTGTGCTTTGCGTATGCGTTTGGACATGAGTCAGGAGTAAACGTTGCGCGTAGCAGTGCTCCTAATAGAAGAGTGTCCAGCGGGTAGGCATAGAGAGAGACGTGCTGAGCTGTAATCCAACCTCGCATATGACACAGGCATGTGTCAGATACAGCTTAATAATAGATATGTTGACTGACTTTATTTTTAGTTCATTTTTCGCCTATTTTTGGTGCTTATAAGTCAAATTTATCGGTGGTGAGAATCGCCTTGTTCAGTTTCCGTCCTTTCGACATGCACGTCGAATTGAGGTACTACTTCATTAACATAAAAACTTGGTCAGATACCTACCTGCCTTGCTGTGTACAACTCAGTTATAGAGAATGAAATTCGACACCAAAATTTTTTAAGGAAGTTAACATCTTATAACACTGCAGGCTTCTTCTTCAGGGAGTTGATGTGTCTATTACGGTCGCACTCTCTCATTATCAATCTTCGTGCCTTGTCGTCAAATAGAACTGCTTTAATATAGCAGGTACATTGTCGTCACCAACACTAGTAAGCTTAGACGGTTAGAACATATTCATAATGTGGTTGCTGAAACTAAAGAATCCCTAAGTCTCATAAAACGGCCACTATCATGATTATACGCCGAGACCCATCAGCTGACAAATAAGACATTAAAGTTTATCGGCAATATAGAATCTCCATCCAGCCTATTGTAACTTTTTGAGGTGCTTCATGCGGTGCAAAACCGTGAGGCTTGGTTTATTACCTGCCAGTACAACAGTCAGCTGAGTATTGTAAATATAAAATCGTCTTTGGAAAATAAAGTATTACTGATTCAACGAAAAGTCTTTAACATATGCATCTTTGAAAAGCTGTATTATAAGGGTCCGCACTTACCTGACACGCCTCTTTTTTTGCCAAACCACCCTTCACGTGGCAGACACACTCAGTGTTCTAAAATTGACGGATCTACAAAATCCTTCAATAGCTCTGTTTTGCCAGTAGCCATTGCGAAATGGAGCTGTTTACTTGACCTTGTATTAAATACTCCCTGCCCCCTCTCTTTACTATTCTTAGTAGCGTTCTCTGCTGACATCGCATTTGGTAGCAATGTGTTGGTAAAAAAATCTCGCTATACTTTCACTGCCATTTGTGCCTTGTTTAGCTGGCTATTTCATTTTTGTGTTAACTCATGCCAGGAGGGCAAATTATTCCTTTTAAGTTAGCCTATGCAACACATAAGGATCCAAAAGATGGCACAAAACAGTATATATTTCTTAGCGCAGATTTGCACCAGTTATTAAAAAACACTGAAACAAAAAGGTAAAAAATGGTGACTAAAATCTATCAAGTACAAGGAAATCAGCCACAATGTCAAGGCACGTCTCTCTAACGCCGTGGTTTTTGTTTCTTTTTCACTTGTGATGCACATCTGTGCACTGCTGCCTCTTTTAGAAGTAGAGTGCGAAATCATCATTTTTAGTGCTGCTGTGCCACTTCAGTCCTTTTTTTACTTTGTATATATTTTCAAAAAACCAATACACGGGTTGCATGGGAGTGTTTTCAGAAGCGCTATAACCACTGAAACAGTATATCTTTTGTTTTATTTTTCTTCTTGTGGTTGGAACAGCTCGGTCAGTGTAGCTTACGTAGGTGCTACCTATACTCTAAAGCATATGCAAACTACATAAATTTACTAAACCGATATTGCTGGATATTGGTCCTTGGTACGCTAGTCTAAAGACGTTTTATGTGAAAGTACTCATTGGCTTTTATGTACTAATACTGCCACCAAGAGCTCTTGGTGGCTGGTGAATATGCACCGAAGAATAACGCTGCAACATTTTAACAATGACGTTAAAACTCCGCAGACCGAGACCCGCAGTCATTAACCTCTTCAGGGTTGCTCGTGTGCGAAAAATGGTTCACACTTTTTGTTGATGTCACTGCAGAAACTCCCCCCCAAAATTGTTTTTATCTAATTCAAAGAAGAGTACTGCATATGAGAAGAGAAATAATTCTGAGTATTTACTTGGAAATGGTGAAAACACCACCAGATGCATGTCGTCTAGCCGTGCCATCTTCCATTGTTTGGAACAGCCGTCCTTGTTTTGTGTATTCTGTGTGTGTGTCCTGCAAGTTTACAGAAAGTACACGAAGCAGAAATGCCAACATAACTTACAAAGTTATTACTAAAAGAGAAAGCGTGATGATCCCTCAAGTTTAGATGCATGTGACATGCTAAAGGAATCAAACAAGAACATGCTATTGCGCCTAAGAGAGGACAGAAAGTGCGAATACAATTTGTTTTATTTTATTCAGTATGCAGAATAAGACATGCGTATGATGAGTGGTGTAGGCAAAACATAACGGCAGCGTTATTTCATCTATATACCTTCTTTAGAGCTGCTGTTGAGTGCACTACTTTTGAAGAACTTCAACGTTGGCTGACGCTTAGCGGGCACCATAAATGTCCCCATTGATCGAAGGATCTGCCGACTCGCAAATTTTTAGAGTCCTTTGCATATCAGAAAACGAATGTCAAGGGAAGTAACATATTGTGACAATAAATGTATCTAATCAGCAATATAACAAAGTGTTTCAACTTAAGTAGCAATTTCGGTCAGACTAATAATTTCTCTGTGATACATCATATCAAACGCTTCACTATAATCTATAAATATGGCATCAACCTGACAATGATTATTCAGGGCCAATACCTCTTCGTGAGTAAATCTATTTTGCTAAGTAGTGGTAGAAAATCCAGAGTGGATGATAGTTGCGTATGACATTCACATCATCGCAACCTAAAGTAGACTTATTTTGGTCGATACTGGTCTGTGTCCTCTAACGCGAGCTCTGACTTTACGCCACGCCATAAGCTACTCTTTAAACACCAGAGTAGCCTGTAAGGCTATGATGTGCACACAGGTACCACTTGTACGAAAGGACGTCACTCCTCTTCCTTACGCTTCGTTAAAACCCTGTAAGTGCAGGCTAAACTGTCACTGACCCGCTGCTTAGCATCAAATCCATTCCCGCAAGGTGTGGAATTTTCCGAAATTTTCTTGATTCTTCTTAATTGTTTAACCAAAATATACTTTACCCTACCACAGTTGCTGGAAGCAAAAGAGGGAGCAGTGTACACCAATTAGTATACTGTCCAGAGAAGTATAAACCCATATTTGAGTGAAAGCATATCTGGAATCAAACGAGTACTCTTTGCGTGTGCCACACTGCTATTTAGTATTAGCGGGGATTAGAAAAGGGGTGCGAAAATTCCGCGTACACTTTTATATACACAGAAAACAAAGTTTGAAACCTTGTTCCACAGCACGATTATTTGACAGGATGAGTTTTATCAGGAGCCACTGAGAGGGACTTCGGTACTAAAGCGGCGTGGACGTTATATATAGGCACTGCATAGATAAAGATGGCCTGCATTAACGCACAGAAAGGGCAGTGAGACAGAAAGATATTTATAATTGTCCAGTCCTCGGCACAGTTAGAGTGCCGCAATGTTTTGACGTGCATTTATTATTAATATTGTTTTAGACCGCTTTATTGCTGCAAGTTTACCCCAACTTTCATTCATGCCTCTCCCGACGGTGTTAAATCAGTGTATGAGGTGTGACTCTCTCTGAAACTCTCTCTGAAATATCAGAAACTGTGACAGACAATATTTTTGAATGCTTTTTCATGTACCTTACTAACCGATCAATGGTTTAAAAGGTGACATGTCTAACAGCTTCCACATACACAACTAAGAGCTCCTAAAGGCAGATTCTCATAGCAACTTGATATTCAATTTAAACGCAACTTTTTTTTCTGTCGACACTAAGCGGAGCGCCTTCAAAGTGAGACACCTCTTTGAAAATCTTTTTTGTTCGCACCACCTCACAGGAGCACCGGGACGCCGTCTGACACTCCAGAAAGCTTAGGAGAAAGATGTCAACCGTCCGTCAAACCACAGCTCAAGCCATCAAGTAGTGACGGTCAGAAAAAGTTTTCGCGAAACGCGAGACCTTCCGTCAGCCGCCCACCATCTAAACTAAAGGAAACACCACAAAACACACTGAACGCAATGTTTCTAAAAAAACAAACACTCACGACGCCACTCAAATAGCGCAATGACCCTTGGAAATTTCTCCGCTCTGTTCTCTCTCCCCTGTCTCTTCCCCCCTCTGTTCACCTTCTCCTCGCTGTTGTGCCGGTTTTTCAAGTTCATTTTTCTCGCGCAAAATATTATAATTTTGAAGCGAACAACATGTATGCTAATTCCTGATGAAGGCCAGACTTTGGCCGAAACCGTCGAAAGAAACGTTCGGTTCACTCTAAGCCGAAATTAGACAAAGTAGGACAAACTGCAGTCATTAAAAAAACGAACGAACCGTTCGTCGAACAGGGATTAAATGCAGTGACAGTGCATGTCTCGCGCAAACGCCCGGCAATGAAAAGACCAACGGGAAGGGTAACGGCTCCACGATCACCTTCTCAGGCCCCAGAAACTCTCAAGTTCTAGCGATGGCCGTAGAAGGCGAAAAAATCGACTACGGCGAGTTTCGTCATGTGCGCGTATAGTGGAACTACTATGTCCTCTTTTAGCGGTAGGATAAGTTAGAGTGTATTTCCCTGTTAGGGGCGCTCAACGCAGCTAAAATATTTATTCCAGAATGTATGAGAAGACCATTACCAGATTAATTACTACGTCGTTTTCCATAAAAATTGAAGAGAATATTTTTTAATTACATTTACTAATTTTACAAGAGCGGTGACTGTTTAAGTTTCACAGTATTGAGATTATCATGATTCTTGAAAAGAAGCAGCCCATCGGCATTGATTGTGTTTATGTCAGTAAATTTGTTCTAATTGTGACCACGGTTGGGCGCGATTGTATTTATCGATTGGCATTATGAAGCTCCATTTTATTTCAGCCCTCGATATAATAATACGAGCTTGTGTGTCAGGTTTACGTGCTACTACAACGAAGCGAACGTGTCTACAGCCTGTGAACCTTGTGAGCTGATGTGCTTCACTGACGTCCGGCTGCGCAGCTTCCAGCATGTGAATTCAACGCTGGCAAATTGCCCAAATACTACCTACGAAAACGGAATAATCACGCACAGTGTGGGCGTGCTCGCCTGTGAGTGAAAATGCACTGATTTACACCTAAACATGGCCCCTTTCTCTTGCATTCGCTCCAATTTCTAACATTTTATAAGGTTTTCAACTTGTGCAGCTAATGAGATGCACACCTCGTGAATGTTTGAGACTTTGCCAGGTTGCCACATTCGCTCTATCTATCTTTACTGCTAAACCTTGTAACACAGATCACATCATTACAGCATAAGTTTCACCTATTCCTGCTCTAAATGAGTCTGCTGCAATACATGCTCATTAACTTAATGCATGGTAGAGTCAAGTGAACTTTTTGTACATACACGCATTCGTACATTTTTCGTAAGTTTACAATCCAGTATATACATTTGCATGAACCGTATAGCTTATACAGTTGGGCAAACAGCTAGCTTTTTTCCTCTGAATAACGTCAATAAAACAAATTCATTAAAATGTCACCCACAACATAAACTCACAAAAATAGCAATCAAATATGTCCACGTTACCTTTATTATACGCAGTACGTGTCTTCATACACATTTTTCTTAGTCATGCATCGAAAATCAATTGACGCATCTGTTGAGTAACAGCGACTGTTCTTTACCCTTACTACCCAAAGGCAGCCTCCTTGAAAGTGCTCATACCAATGTACACTTGGATGCTTCTTCATTCAACCTACCTCAAGTCAGCGGAGAATGTGTCATCACTGAAAGCAAGCTCATGGTCCAAAATCTCCGCAAGGTATGGTTGAAGACACTTTATTTATTCAACCTATTTTGTTCAACCATTTTTGTCTTACACTGCTTATGACTCTGACTTTTTTTGTCTTTTCAGAGAACTGGACATATGAGAGACCATTGATTTCCAAGCTACCCATATCTAGTCGTAAGAAGTTCAACAGTTGCGATAGGAACAACCTTATGCGCCACCAATATACCAGGCGGACAAACGCAAGCTTCATACTGAAACGCAGTGATAGTGTATGGTATCTCCAAGCTGTACGAATTAGGCTGCACATTGTTGTTGCCTGCTTTATAAATTATTCAGTTTACAGGAAATGTGCAGGATTCACATTTCATGGACTGCACATATGATAGGGTGCACATAACGTAGTTCATTTTATAAGTCAAACTTTGCATAGAGTGTCACATATAGCTAGGTAACAAGTAGGTTTGTAGCAGTGCATATTAAGCAGAACTTCTTTTTCACAATCAGTATAGATTGCCCCGCCGCGGTGGTCTCGTGGCTAAGGTACTCGGCTGCTAACCCGCAGGTTGCGGGATCGAATTCCGGCTGTAGGCGGCTGCATTTCTGATGGAGGCGGAAATGTTGTAGGCCCGTGTGCTCAGATTTGGGTGCACGTTAAAGAACTCCAGGTGGTCGAAATTTCCGGAGCCCTCCACTACGGCGTCTCTCATAATCACATGGTGGTTTTGGGACGTTAAACCCCACATATCAATCGAAAACATTCAGTATAGATTGCTGTGAATGTAAGGACAGCTGCAAAGAAGTGGTACGGACAGCTACATTAGTGCTGAACAAGGTTACTAATACCACGTGCGTGTCGGGAGTGATACTGTCAAAGCTCTAAACGAAGAAACTGCGCAAAACCTCATCCCTTCATTAAGCGAGACGTGTCTTGCAGAGTTGGCAACCATGGAGTCGAACCATGAGAGTGAAATAACTAGAAGAATAAAGATGGGTGGATCGCATTCGGCAAGAATTCTCAAATCATGAATGATAATACATCACTAACCCTTAAGAGGAAGGTATATTGTCACGTGACACGTGACAATATTGTCACGTCGTGACAATATAACAGCTGCCTCTTACAAGTACTCACATACAGACCAGAAACCTACAGAGCAGAAAGCTTACAAGCAGGGTTCACATTAAATTGAGGACGACGTAGTGAGCAATAGAAAGAAAAATGATAGGTGTAACCTTAAGAGACAAAAAGAAAGCAAAGTGGGTCAGGAAACAAACCGAGGTTAAGAATATCATAGTTCAAACCA